GAAAAGGAAAAGGAAAAGGAAAAGGAAAAGGAAAAGGAAAAGGAAAAGGAAAAGGAAAAGGAAAAGGAAAAGGAAAAGGAAAAGGAAAAGGAAAAGGAAAAGGAAAAGGAAAAGGAAAAGGAAAAGGAAAAGGAAAAGGAAAAGGAAAAGGAAAAGGAAAAGGAAAAGGAAAAGGAAAAGGAAAAGGAAAAGGAAAAGGAAAAGGAAAAGGAAAAGGAAAAGGAAAAGGAAAAGGAAAAGGAAAAGGAAAAGGAAAAGGAAAAGGAAAAGGAAAAGGAAAAGGAAAAGGAAAAGGAAAAGGAAAAGGAAAAGGAAAAGGAAAAGGAAAAGGAAAAGGAAAAGGAAAAGGAAAAGGAAAAGGAAAAGGAAAAGGAAAAGGAAAAGGAAAAGGAAAAGGAAAAGGAAAAGGAAAAGGAAAAGGAAAAGGAAAAGGAAAAGGAAAAGGAAAAGGAAAAGGAAAAGGAAAAGGAAAAGGAAAAGGAAAAGGAAAAGGAAAAGGAAAAGGAAAAGGAAAAGGAAAAGGAAGCTTATTTCATAGTACGTCTGTTGCTACACAGGCCAAGGTTAAATGTCTATGATACAAAGCTCCTAAGGGAGCTTCATCAATTTCATGGGAAAACAGGGCACCAGGTTTATAAGACATCTTCTGTGAGTAAAATACAGTGCAGAAAGTACCTACACAGAACGGAATTTGCATGACTCCACATTATCTCCATGGCAAAAAACTCTCTTCCCTCAGGCACCTGGACTCTGGCACAGGAAATTTTGAGTGCTGAGAGAGATTAAAAAGAGGACTGAAGAAGGTGCTATTACATAAATTCTCTAGCCAAAGACATATGACTGCAGAGTAACTGCACTGTGCCTGCATGGATAGCACAGCTAAGGACAGAGATAGATTATCCTAATTTAACAAAAATGTGGGGTTTTTTTATTCCTCCTTTACCCTAGAGGAGGGGTTTCCTCCCCTAGAGGGAGGACCCTAGGAGAGTCTCCTATTCATACTGTATTTATTTGGGCACTATGCAAGTTATTTGCAGAGCTGGTTTTCAGCTCTGCCTAATTTTAAGTATAAAGTTCATGGCCTAGCAAGAAAGTCCTAAGAAACTTCTGTACCACAGTTTTCATAATGGCAGCTCAACACATCAAGGGAACTCTACCTTAGAATCATCAGATGTTGTGAGTTGGAAGGGACCAAGGATCCACAAGGATCATCCAGTCCAACTCCTGTCCCTGCACAGGACAAGCCCAACATTCAGACCATGTCCCTGAGGGCACATGTTGGCCAAATGCTGCTGGCATCTTGTCAGGCTTGGTGCCATGAGCACCTCCCTGGGGAGCCTGTTCCAGTGCTCCACCACCCTCTGGGTGCCTGAAGAACCTTTTCCTCATGGCCAACCTTCACGTTGGCATTACAGCTAGAGCAATGGGATGAAACCATACGATAATTCATGTCCTGGTCAGGACATGAGGGATCATCTGGTTCAACTCTCACACGGCTTTTGCTGGTTTAAGGAGCATGTAGAGACTCAACAAGATGCTCACAGCTTATAGGGCAAGAGGCCTTGTCCCCTTGGGGGAAGGCTTGTGGTGGCACAGATGTGCTGGGGCCACGGAGGGGCTGCTCTCCATGGCAGAGCTGCCTCACAGGGCCGGCCTTCCTCAGCTCCTCTCCCTCCTCTTCCTCCTCTCCCCAGACCCCACCACTGGGCCACCCCACAAGACCTTTGCGGTGCCACCAGCGATGGCCAAGCCTTTCCCTCAGCTGACAGCACAGGCCAGGCAGTGAGGCAGGAGCCCCTGAAGCCACCGGCGAGCCCAGGACAAGGCAGCACAACAGCCCAGGCCCGGGTCAGGCTGTGCTGAGGGCAGTGGGGCTCCAGAGCCACCCAGCCAGCCCCACAGCCCTGAGGAGCAGGGGCCGCGAGTGCCTCCCTGCTCGCCGGGCAGCCCCGGGGCCGGTCCCCTTCCCCTCAACACCTTGGAGAACAGACACCTTCCCCTCCCTCGCCATAGTGGAAAGGGCGCCAGGACACAACTAACAGCCACCCCC